AAATTTGATAAAGACAAATATTGTGTGTTGTACAATTTAAAGTAGGGGTCTAGTCGTGTGACGTCTGCAATGTAAAAAAAAAAAACACCGATAAAAAAAATACCTAGGATACGTAAATATCTAGGTTTGTTGCAACACAATCATTTCAAAGTTAGACGTTAAATTCGACTTTCAGAGTATGATAAAATGGTTATCATATAATTGTCCTGTTAGATTATCTTATGTGCCAACTGCTCTCTAAGTTAGTACGTAGTTTCATGCAATATCTCATTGACCAAGTCAAGGATCCCAGATGACATTCTAATTTACAGAATACATCTAAACATTACTTGGATATATAAAAGTTCATACAGAGTTACATACATGTAAATTGAATAACCAGTGAAATTCATATTCGGTGCCAATGACAACAAGGCAATATATGTTTAGATGGGGTGAAATGGGTCTCACCCCCTGAAAATCCAAATAATATACACGTTGTCGTCGGTAGAAATTTCCTTCAATTTACACTCAGAATGCGATTGTACGCAAAAGTTTCAATTATTTGCTTTTTGTACTATTTGATAGATAAATCTCATTATACATAATGTAATTCTCGAATTACTCCTCTACATTACATTCAAACAAGTACATGTCATACGAGCCATCCGAGGAGCTCTGAGTAAAATGTGTACGCCGTACATCACCCCATCCCCCACCCCACCCCCAAAAATAAATAAATAAAATAAAATAAAATAATAATAAAAGAAGTCACAAATTAATGATGATTGTAAGATATTATTCAAAAAAACGTAGATACAATTTCACAAAATCCTAACTTTTCATTCTTATAGTCAGCTTATGACAGGGTGAGTAATTCGGAAAATAAAAATGTCAAAATTTCTTTCATTTCTAATTTTTAAAAAAATTAAATCATACGCAGTAAAGAGACAGGTATAGAAAGCAACTTCATTTTTGGGAAAGGGCTTTATGAAAGATTATTATACAGAAATAAAAAAAAGGAGTCATCAGATAATATTATCTGATTTCATAAAAAAATAAGAGTTCGTAAATATAAGCATTGATTTTACAATCACAGCGTAAATTGAGATAGTTATTCGGCAACACTTACAAAGGAGGTGCAGAGCTTTTCAAATATGAAAGTATCATGATCCTATGAAAATATCCTTAACAATTAAGAAAGAATACGGTACTATCGAGGTTTGAAAAAAAAAATGCAAAACTTGACTGATGATGTGAATTTCAAGACAATGATCCGGTACTTCATTTATCGATCAAATATATGAGCATGTTTTTTAGAAGAAGGGGGTGGAGGTGGGGATATCGTATATGTACATGTGTTTTCAAAGTGGTCATGGTCGAACTAAGAAAGAAATTAATAGTAAAATAAATAGGTAAAAATGAAAATGAACAATGAAGCAGAATTGAAGCGAAAAATGAATTAGCTAAAAAACATAAAGAGAGAATAGAGAAATAAAAATTCAAAAATTATTCTTAAAGGGCTTTCTTTTCCGTAGTGATAAAAAAAATTGCACGTAAAAAATAGGGGATCAAACCATTTAATAACAACATAACGCAAGATTTCAAAATCAAGATGTGCTGATATTTTAAGTCCGGAACTAATCTTTTTGCCTGAAATAAAATAAATAATCAGAAAATAAAACTAGAAAGCCTGCTATTGCAAGCAATAGCGTATGTCGCCCCGAACTGGACAAGACTTTTATTTCATTTTATTTTTATTACTAACAATACATGTACCCATTAGCTAAGCTTTGACAACCATCTACTTGTATCAGTCCTTTGAGTACTTTGATTTAAAAATCAAAGTTAAAGAATTTTCACTTTTCCTATTTCCATGGAAACTATTGAGAATTTGCAATTCTTAAGGTAGGATTCTTCTCTGGTTTCTGACTAGATGGAATATTCAAAGTACGTTTGTTGATATATCTTATATTTAGATGTAAAAGATTTACAAGACCATATTTTTCTTTCCTAATCACAATTACACAACTTTAAATAGAAATAGTAAACTGCGTTTGAAAACTAGCAGGGATGATATTTTTGGCGGAATGATGGCGTATGAAAATATCTTTTTTTCTGCCTCTCAAAATTATTATAGAACATTGAAGTTACTTATAATTTTTACGAAATCAAAGACTAGACGAGATCTTCAAATGGAAGTTAAATTAATAATAAGTAATTAAAGTTTCAATATATATCAAATAAATAAGATTTTTCACACATACTAGAACTATGTTCGCTTTTAAATGCTTCAAATCTAAGTACGGATTTGAGCCAAAAATCCGTAAAAAGTGTTATTTCTCTCTTAGTAAACGATCAAATCTTTTTGTTTTTGCATCATTTTGTACCTTTACGTGACAACTTTACTATATTTGAAAACTGGGAAAAGTTAAATATAGGAAGCATATAAAAATAACTAATAAATCCTAAAAATTTAAGAAAAGTAGAGGGAATTCGGATTCGCAAATATCCATTTTATGTAAATTATCTATGTCAATTTGGTAATGTCATCTTATAGGCCCTATACGGTAGTATCTTTTTATGCAAAAAGAAAATCATTCAATCTTTTGAATAACAAGTAGGGATCACAAGATTGGAAACAGTAATTTTTTATTCTTAATGTCCATGGAAAAGGTAATGACCTTGACCTGACCTTACTTCTAATATCAAACGGTCATATTTAATCTCACTGATACCATCACTTAGTGATATTGTCCTCTTGATTCTGTGAAAATTTCATTAATTTTCAAATACAAGAAATGTGAGAAGAATTCTAACGTTCGCCAAACGTGACGTGTTACCGAGTAAATAAGGCCAGAGAGAAAACTGGAGGACAAAATTCGCCACTTTTTGCAGGTTTCCATGGCAACGGTAGCCATTTTTAAACAGAATGACCACCAACACAACTACAACCAGTGATATTTATTTTAAGAAAGTTTCAGGAAAATTGTCCCAGCCATATCTGAGAATCAGCCTGGAGAACAAAAACAGGTGTACAATCGCAATATGTCGCCCGACTTCGTTCGGGGCGTCATAACTAACTTCCTACATGCGTCTGATTTCACATGACCTAATTCGACTTTTCGACTTTACCAACATCAGGTTTTTCTAAAAATGCAGTGTTTATTTTTAGTTTATTGCAATTAATTTAGGGAATAAAAAAGAAGACCACAAATGAATTTTGAAAATGACCCACTGTATATTATCTTCACATTTTATTGCGTCATGCATTTTTCAAACCTCAGAGTGTTTCGCCAAACGTGACGTGTTACTGAGTAAATACGGAAGTCCGTCTGTACGGTTTTCGCCGCTTCATCCTTTATGACTTGGCTACAGTCGAGGGTTTTCCTAGCTGCTTCGTTCATGTTTTTTTATAGAATGTGCATTGACAAAGAGCTATTGCATTTATGCTAGAATCAGTGAACTTGATTCAAATATTTCATCTCTGATGACAAGCTTTAGGCACTGAGTCGCCAATTCTCGGGCCTTTCTGTCTAACGAAGAAACAAACTGGGATGTGTTACATGTAACAACCCCCTTCCCCAAAAAAACAATAAAAAACATTGAAATAAATTCAGGGGACCACTTCCTTATAGGTAGAGACTGCAGCTCAGCCAGAAAGGCTAAGGAAGCGATTTTTTTCAGAGCTTAAGGTAGACACGTACATTGATTTTTTGATGAACATTTTTGACAGCTCACGAATAAAACCATTCATAAAAATCAAAAATTAATTTTTTTCATGTATCATTTTGGAAAAGTTATCAGTAAATATATAAATTGACGACATTGTACATTTTTTCAAGACAGTTTTAGGCATGCCTATTCTTTTTTATTTGTATAACGCAAATATATTTCTGTTTTGCTTTATGGTATATTTTTTTTTCATCGGCAAACGCACAAGCGAGACGTCATGTCTTGGAAGCGCTAGTGTGACGTAATTACGTTTATGTCAGGAAGGTTCCTTTTCGGTTGACGCAACTCATTTATCTATTTACTTGTATATAGCAATCAAAATGTTTAGCAACATTATCACAGCTACAAATCCATACAAAGCCTTAAGATAAGGCACAACTTCGCGACCAAGTGTAGAGGGGCATCGTTCTGTTTTACCATTGGAATAATCCTCTTTTAGATTTGAGCACTCAGGTTCTTTTACTATATCAATGAAAGAAAATTATATACATTTCTGGCATATTCTTTACTTTTAGAATTGAACATAGTCTTATTAATCTCTATTTATTTATCTATGTATCTCTCTCTCTATCTCTCTCTCTCTCTCGCGTCTTAAAAAAATGTTTTGAAATACTGATTTCAATCATTGGAATGCTACATTCTTAAAGAAAGCACAGCCCTTACGGTTATCCATCTCCAAATTCAATTCTCCAAATAACATCCAGTAGCCATTGAACATAACTTTTTTAATCGTATCGTAGGTAAATTCTGAATTCCCAGAATATAACATTGCGTAGTAGGAAACATTGAAGCATATAATTAGGACCGTCATGATTGCCATGAACCCAATTGTATCTTTAACCTAAATGACACAAGAAAAGAAAATGGGTTCCAGTTGTTAAAATACAATCCATGATAGATTTATTACGAAACACATATATTATCCTTTATCACATTTCTCTGTACGTAAGTATATAATATAAGAATATATTTTTACTATTTGCCAAAGGTATTTGCTTCAAATGGTCATAGAAATAAGAATATATTATATATACCATTTCTTATATATATATATTATACCATTTCTCTAATGATAGCACGCTTTGGTCCAAGTAAATCTGAGATGCAGAGAAGTGGAATTGTGCGACTGCATAACATTATGAAAGTTAGAATCAGAAGCATTTTGGATGCTTCAAATGTCCATCCATTTCCACCTTTAATCTTCAACAGCATTCCAGTTGAGTAAGTGAGAATTGCTAGTAGATCACAGATATTCCAGCCTTCCTTGATATATAAGCCAATGCTATCTCTGTGTTTGGCTATGCAAATCTTAATTCAATAAGGTAAATTGAAGAGAGAAAGTTAACAAAGCATTTAAACGTACAAATCTGCATTAATCGAAACAAAGCACATATACAGCTCATAAATTTTCTACCTAACATGCTTTTGTGTTTGTGAACTAATTTACTACAATTGAATAAAAGAAAACCCAATATAGTTTTACTCAGCAAATTTGCAAACGGAAGATGTATCAAATATTGCAGTTCTATTATAATTTTTATATGTTCACGATCATATAAATTTTCAGATCTAGTACGAAGTTGGTACCACTTTTGCAGAAATGATATTACTTATGACGCAGGATTTCAAATGAAGGAGTTTTTCATACACGCAGCTAAGTTAAGGACGCCCATAGGAAATACGCCTTTAACAATTTCGAGAAAAGCAATATAATATTTTTTTTTCGCATGAGTTTTTATTTAATGGGAATTCTACTATTGCATATGTATGTATGTATGTGGTCTCTGCCGAGTTCGACCAAAGCGACTTCACTTACATCAGCTGTTTGTCACGAGACATGTTTAAAATAAGAAAAAAAAATGTACGGCTATAAAGATCGTAAAAATTAATTTAAGACAAATTTCTTAACCTGAAAATGCTGGGAGGAACTTCCCAATGCCCGGGATTTATATAAAATTTAACCGTCTTTTCATAAATTTCGTACGTTAACATTATACGCATTGAACTAATGTAGAATTATGGAAAAAGCAAAAGCGCACAATTTGCTCACAGCACTTTTGAAAATAGTAGGGACATTAGTTACATGTGTCTAAAAAATAATAATTTATAGTTTAAGGTCTATCGTTGAACCTTTGAGATTTTCGAGGGGGTGCGCATGTGATTGTAGTACGTTTATGAAAAAAAATATGCATTACTGCCGCTTTCTATGAGGCCTATTTGTTTTCAATTTAATAAGACTGTAAATATTATTAATTGCATTCAAAAATATGACTCAGTTTTACCCAGATCACATTTATTTAGTTCTAATTTTCATATCTAAAAGCACCAATAATGATTTGATCTACGTCTCAAGTACAGAGAAACTACGTTTCAAACTAATCTATAACGTCATCTCAGTCAGATCAGCGAGATCAAGGTGGCTTTAATTCTACATTGAAATTGATATTTAATGGCAAGTTAAGTAACACATTGATTTATGTTTACAATATTTATGAGAAATGACTGTATCTGAGAGTGAATTAAAAAAGAAAATTGCATTAACATGTAGTTACTCAAATGTACCAAAAGAGTTTTCATTGAGTATTATCAGCAATTTCTTTCTTGGAGGAGTCGTATATCAAACACAAATAGATCATTTTGGATCAAAGAAAGGGAAATTAATCTGATACAAATTATTCGTTCTTATACATAAAATAGTAATGATTGACGCATTTTGAGAAGAACGTTGCTTAACTGCAAAAAGAACACGTGGTGGAAATTTGTAGTATTCCTTATACACGCATAATTGAATTCGGGGTTAAATCCGATCATAAGGAGGACAAATAAATACTTCAAAGTTAATCATCAATTAAAGGTGTCAAGTTATTTACTAGCTTTGTCTTGCCTCTTTGTTAAGTTGCTATATTTTTTCAAAAGGTACATTTAAGTAGTTAGGAAAAGCAAATAGAATCTAAACATAAATGAGCTGTATCTTCAGCACATGTCCTACAAGTTCATGTGTGTCATATTCCTTTCAAGTAAGATTTACTTTAAAAGATCTCACAAAATTATCCAGATAGGGGTTACATGTATATAGCTTTGGCTCGTTATATAATGAATACAGGTGACTCTCGATTTCTCGAAGTTCAAGGGACCGCAAGAAAAGTTCGAGAGATCGAGGGGTTCGAGAGATAGAAAGTAAATAAAATCCGGAATTTTCAGTTCCGATCGTCGAAGTTCTACTTTTATAGATACCGGAAGTGTATGTAAATAAAGTCATTGCACCTTTTCAATCGTATTTTACAGGTAATTTACTTGAAATCAACAACAATGATCGTATTTCGAATAAATAAAACGAATTGCTAAAGTTTCAATATTTATTTGTTCTTATTTTATGATTACATGAAACCTGAATAGCAATTGTCAGTTTGGCTATTCTGCGGCTTGATCGGGTCCTTCGCCAGTGTTCACCAGATTTTTCTTAATCAGTATTCAGTCCTTGAGAAAGGAATTTCTTGTGCAATATTTGCCATACTGCGATTATGTAGAGTGTATACTGTAAATGTATTGTATTTGGCGTGTACGATATTTAGCGGAAATTGATCATTGAACAGGTTAGCGTAGATTTGATTTAGCGCATCTATTCATTTTCGTATACAAGAGCATATGTGCAAGACATTTAGCGTTGTACTTGAATTAGCGGACGTTTCTTTCCGCCAAAGGCGCTAAAAAGAATACACAGCCAAATGTAATACTTTTACAGTATAATCTTGATGAAAGTTCATAGTCTATGGGAACTTAATGAAACGAACATCTATAAATCAATTTCTAAAAAAAAAATATCGTCTCGGTTTCAGTTCAAATTAAGTAATGATTTAGTTTATAATTTAACCTGTGAATAACAACCAATTAATTATATCAACACACGGACGACCCACAGGTGTAGTGTCATCTATGTAAATCCCTATTAACACCTCGATGCCAGCCCAAGGCGTTCACTTATTTCCAGGTAAGTCCAGGCTGCATCAATTTTACGCTTGATTGGCGTGAATGCATGCGCAATCAAAACTTCGAGAGATAAAGAGTAAAACTCAATGAAATATGAGTAATGGGGCCCGGGTTTTGGTTCGAGAGATAGAGAACTTCGAGAGATAGAAGTTCGAGAGATCAGGAGTAAATTTATTTTGTTTTATAGAGGGAAAAAACGGGACCGGAGGTTCACTTTGAGAGATCGAGAACTTCGAGAGATCGGAGTTCGAGCCATCGAGAGTCACCTGTATATAAAATTATTAAAATTTAATGTATTTTGACTAAATGGTAGTAAGGTATGACTCATGCTGGACAAGCCGAATGTAAATGCACTAGGTATCACACTCTGGATTCTTCCTGGGCTGTTATAATTGTTATGCTTAGTGTTGCATGAATTAAATTACAGTTCCCATCCCAAGCATATTTGCAGAAAATAAATAAAATGGAATGAAATTTAATCAAGCTAATTATAAAAAAGGCGTAATAATGACACTTACAAATGTATGTACCAGTTGTACATTGCTATTCGGATTATGTATCAACTCAAAAATAAAATTGAGGACATTTCTTCAAGCTTTTAAAGTAAGTATACATTCATTTTTTGTTTGTCAAATATATGAAAACTTTAACCTTGATATATTTAAAGTACGTTTTGTATGAATAATAAATGTTTGTGAAGAGACTGGTAATGCTTCTGACTGATGATTTTATAACTTTGTTCGCTTTCCATCATGGATGCTGAAATATTTTTCAACAAAAAACAAAATTGACGCCTTTTCTGCATAGTTAGCTTTGGCTAAAACCTACAGCATGTATATCATGCGGAAATATAAAAATTTTGATTTTCTAGACACTAACTGATATGATGCATAATGATTTCTGGTAAATTTCATGCCAACATCAAAATATATTGACAGTAGATATGTACCTGACATTAATTCAATAATTTGGGGATGGGGGTTAAATCAGAAGGATCATATCCTTTCTGAAAGTGTATCACAAAATAATCAACTGGTTACAAATGTATGGAAAAAGTAAAAAGAAAATCTCACCTGTCTTATTTCATTTATGGCATAACTCGTCATGCATATGATAAGGAAAATATCTATACTTGAAATTCCTTCTTCATGGTCGAACAAAAGCATATAAGCAAAACCGAAGACAAGAACAGCGAATCCAAACTGAAATATGGGAAAGAAATGCACAACGTCATCTATTTTGAACTGCAAATATTTGCTAGAATCATGAATCATGAAGCTTGAAAATTTGTAAAATAGGTAAAAAAGAACAACAATGACTTATAAAGAGTTGAGTATGCAAACCATCTTTTCTCTGTTTGTATATTATATTGTAATTAAAAATCCGCGAATAATTTTTGAATAATAAAAAGCAGTACTTAAAAGATTGACTTTCGGGAGTGAAAAAAATAGCATTGCATTTTAAGTACTTTTTTTTAAGTTGCTCTGAATGCTTGAACGTGTATGGATTTTATGATGGTTAGTATGAACCTGTTTGAAAAATTAAAAAAATCCTACAAAAAGTAATTAATACACAGCGGGAAAAAATCTTACTTTGCGTTATTAATTACTGTTCTTAAGATGTCTTTTTATGAGATATGTGGTTTAACAAACAGTATTTGAGCTCAAGGGTCCATTAAACATTACAAAGAAGGAGCAGAGCAAACACGGACCTCTAAAACATAAGAGGTTGTATCAGATTCAATGGAGGAGTGGCATCCTCTACCGACGGGTCAAACCCGCCGTGAGCTCCTAGACAAAACAACAGACAAGTGATCGTATTTTATTTCAATGAGAAACCTTTAAATCATGAAAGTTTGTTTCACATTTATGTTTTTAGATATGTTATATATATATATATATATATGTGTGTGTGTGAAAAATGAGAAAAAATACTAGGCAAAGAAATTAATAATGACAATGACGTCAAAAGAGAAAACAGGACAAAAAATTATCTGTACTTATTAAATCATGTTTCAATTCAATAGCAAACAGCAGAAAGCCTTATCCATCCAGCAAAAGTTTCATGAAAATACATTAATATCTTTATAAAGATATGACCTTAGTATGAAGAAGTTGCAGACAGTCCTTCTACATTCATGCCTTTTAAACAAATGTTAAGGTTTATTCATCCTCCCAATTTTAATGGTTCAAAGTACAAAAACTACATTTTTATCATGTTTGAAGCTTAAAGAACTATATGCGGTATTAACCAACATTTGCCCCCCAAAATCAAACTTTGATGGAGTAATATTTGATTAAGTCCTTAAACAGGGGAGTATATGCTGACTTCAAAGCACTGAATAATTTCATAAGTAATGACGTCATATGTACGTAATGACGTCACAAATATGACGTAAATTTAAGTTTTTTATGAATTTTGCAGAAAAATGTACATATTTCGTCGATATTTTAAATAAAAGTCACCGAGCGCATGTGTGTTCAGGATAAATATTTTGATATAATGTGTAGAATGATAATATCAATGAAATATGTCAATATTGTTCCTGAACACACATGCGCTCTATAAATTTTAAAGCTTAAATTGTTGAAATTTTGTCCATTTTGTCCTCTTTCTGAAAAAGGATATAAAATCGGACTAGTTTGTGACGTCATAAAAACAGAAATTGTGAATACACTGCTCTGGAACTATAATATTTTCTGTTAACTTATATTTCTCGTACAATTTATTGAATTCAGCACATTTCAGGAAGTTTTCAAAATTTGACTTTTGTGGGGGCAAACATATGCAATATACCGCATATAGTTCTTTACCAGTTATTGTAAAAATGTATGGGTTGCCATATTATTTTAGATGGAAAACGTAAAAAAAAAACTTAAGTACATTTCTAAGCAGTATCATAAAAATGATTCAAATGCACAATTCTAATGCTGAAAGTTAAGTTCCAAAATACTAGTTACTGAAAAGATACTCTTGAATCGTGAATATCAGGGAAACTATTTTGTATTATAAGACAATGCCTGAATGAAAATACCTGAGAAGGAGTTATTGCCCTGGTCAACGTTTTTTTTTAAATTGAATAATTAATTTAATTAATCAAATAAAGGCAATACAAATTTATAGAAATATAGAAATATTTTACATTACAATATTTATCATTACACTTATAGAAAAGCTTTCTTCCAAAAGATATCGATCTATTGGATATGAATTTAAATTATTAACAGTTAAAAAAAAAAAAAAAAAAAAAAAAAAAAAAACTACGATATCATAAGAGGATGAAAAATACGAGAAATAGTGTTAATTTCTGAAGCACTATAGTCATTAAAGAATACAAACTATTAGATCTTATACTATTATGTAATGATTCTATTATTTTTCAAGGAACTAACTTTTGATTGTTGAACTTGTAAAGATTTATCAAGTGCTCGTTAAACATTTTTTTAAATGTTAGCCTTCCTATTCAAAATGACTATCGTTTCTTTTCTGTCAATCGTTGGAACAAAAATCTTACCCAAGTATTTAGAACTTTCACGACAGGAATGTTGTATACTTTATAGAACCTTAAAGAAAAGAACCACAATTTAATTGAACATCATATTTTTCGAACACTCATAGTAAATCCTTTCAATCGTTGTGTATCACATTTCTGAATAATCGGTAGATTTACAATATTATTTAATTATGATAAGGTATAAATATCATTTCATTAGGATAAAGCATAAATATCATTTCATTATGATTATGATTTAATTTTTCACATAAGCGTCAAGTGCGTAAGGATAGTAGACACCTTTAGCATAGACAAGTGAATTTAGAAAAAGAGACTGGATGTACTAAAAATGAAATAGTTTACATTTCAAACACATTTTTTGTTTATTAGTGAAATAAATTAAAGTTTGGATTAGGAAAACAAATAAACACATTAATTTTCCTAATGAAGCCCCGTAACAAAAGATTTTCCCTTCGGGGCCCAATAGATGGCCTGTATTTTCACAGGGAACAATATCCAACCTCTTCCGATTCACAAATGACTTCAAATACGTATATATAAGACGTCACATTAATCCGTTTTTTATGATGGCTAAGATCAGAAATATATTAATCGAGGAAAATGTGTAATAACTGCTTAAATTATTATAAACATTATTGATTGAATATCAGAAAATTATTGTTTGAATATTAGGAAATACATAAGGTTCTTTCTTTGCTCAGATGCTGTCCATTTGAACCTGCAGAAATTCAGAGTAAACAAACCTATAAACAGTCAATAACTTATATTAATACTTCATACGTATTTTGCTTATAAAATTTGTGTATATATGTAGCTACGGCATTCTAAACACAAAAACAAGGACAGGCAGCCAAAGGTAAAAATCTGCGTTTTATTTTGACGTTACAAACGTTGAACAATGTGGATGTGCAATATAATAATAATAAAGCCGAACTCAATGGGTTCTAAATATTAATGTGATAGAAGCCTTTTAAAACGATTCATAAATAAAATTGTTTAAATTATATTTTGATTAAAAATCAATTCAAAACTTTGGAAACCTTTAACAAAATAAATAACAAAAAAAAATTTCAGTCCAAACAAATTTTGTAAAATACAAAGGTTAAATATTTTCCTTCAACACCAAGAGCGGTGATAGCCTAATGGATAAGGCGACCGCCATGTATTTCTAAGGTCTTGGGTTCGCGCCCCGTCTGTGGCGATATATATATATATATATATATATATATATATATATATATATATATATATATATATATTTTGAATTTCGTACTTTTTTCATTATTTTTACCAAATCAAAATATGTGCGAACGCTACATTTATAATATTGATAACAAATCACTATAAAAATAATTTTTCACCCATATAAACAGTATCATGGACTGCGTAATCGTGGCTTAATGGTGGCTTAATGGTAGCTTAATGGTAGCTTAATGGAGTTTGGACATTAAGCACCTGTAAGTCCCCCTTAATGGTAGCTTAATGGTGACTTAATGGTGGTCTAAAAGCTACCATTTAGGTGTGTGTCTAAATGATGGAGACGACAGTCGAGAATATTTTGAAAAAATCGAACAAAAACGATACCCTTTTAAACTTTTATCATTTACTCAAGTAAATGTTGGCTGCATAAATATAAATTGAAACGAGACACATGCATCATCTAGATATTAAAAAATGTATTTCACTTGAAGAATATAAAACAGTGCGTTTTTATGCGACATGTAAAATTCGATGTTCTAAAAAAAGGGACCTGTCGTTTTTTCGATAGTAAATGATAAGCAATTTTACGAGAGTTGTTCGAAAAGTTTGTGGACGACGTAATTTTCTCCGAAGATATGTTGCAATTCGAAAAATTTTGTATATTACATTAAATGATAATGTACTTTGAAATAATATGCAAAATTTCAGTCAGTTTTACTTACATTTCTTAAAGTTATATCAATTTTTATGATACATTGTCAATGCCCGTGGAGCAACTGTGGCGTAATTTTTTTGACGTCGTTACGTCGCCAATGTTTTATGAATAATCTTGCATCTTCTTAAAAACTCTTTCAATGCGACGATCCACCGATTTTTTTCATCAAAGAAATTTCGGCACCAAACGAGTACAAACCTTTTCAAATCAAAGAGATTTTGTGATTATTTCATGTGCTATAGACGTACTTATTTCAAATTTACCCGCTTTATCCCTTACTGCTAATCTTCTATCTTTGTCAAGATCTTGTAACATTGACGCCGTCAAGTCAGAATCAATAGTTGGAGGTCTTTCTAACTTTTCGTCATCCCAAGTTTCACATCGTCCTTCTTTAAATTTTATACCATTGATTATGATACTTTTGACCTATCCTCATATTTATCTAGCAATTGTTTTGTCTCAAAAGGAGTCTTTCCTGCTACCACACAAAATTTTATCACAGCGCGCTGTTTTGTGACGTCCAATTCTGACGCCGTTTTGAACCGTGAATTTAGACCGTTCCCTTTCATTATAAATCGATAATTTGAGAACCACTTGCTCAAAATAACTGAAACTTCTCAAATATGACGATTGCCTATTATTGTGATCTCATATTCAATATCATAGATTTTCGAGCGCAAAATTTAAAAATAATCTGTAATAACAATATCGACTAAAAATATTCAAATACGCAGAAAACGAGGATGCTCCGCGACCCCCTGCTAAAGAAATTAGAACATTTATTTAATGGACCAAAAAATTGAAAAGTTGTATTTTTACTGGAAAGTTGATATGATAAAAGTATATAAAGTTTCACTCCAAACATATAAATACAGCGGTCAGTACCGAAACCGTTCACGAACTTTTCGAACAACCCTCGTATATATTAAATATGAAAAACATATATGTTTTTACAGATTCATTTTATGGAAGTAAATATATTATGTACCTCATAATTTATAAACGGAAAGATCATTGTGGTTAACAATATTCTTAATGTTAAGAAAACCTTTACTTCTGAATAACTTCTCCCAGCTCAATACCCATACAACAACACTTAAACTTATATGTATAGAGCAACCCGGTCCTCCGGGCTGCAATGAAATTTATTTATCAAGAGTGTACACGTTTATTATCCCATCAGAAAGACAGCTCATAACGTTACATGTTGGAAAACTAGGCCTATTGCCGTATTGGTATATAGGCCTTAAATTAGATATGTTTGTTAAGAAACCAGTTCTAAATGTTTTTATTTATATCTATTAAAATCTGTGGATAAGGAGATTCAGATATTGATTAATTAAATTAATTTATAAATGAAAATAAATTCCACACGTTGGAAACAGCGATAAAAACTCGACTGGATGCGTCAAACGTCAAAACACGTGGATAGAAAAAAAATCTGCGAAGTTCACCGCCAGTCTGCAACGTCACATCTTTATGACGTTATTTATCTGTTTTAGCAAAAATGCCATAAGGCCCTTTTGTCATGGGTGCAATCATATGTATTAGAAAAATTTTGATATGTCTCTATGTAAGGAAATAAAGCTTAAAAAACCGAATACATTTTAGATGCATTAACATAATTTTCATGATGAAATATTTTGTAACCACGCGAAATACTGTATCAGTGAATATCATGTCTTGTTTTTTTTTAAAAAAAACCGCACAGGTCTGATTCACTTTTTTTAGAAAATCAAAAATCAGCTACTTACCGTTCAAAACAAAAGCTGTCTAGGAAAATCAGCATCGGTAACAAAAAAACCCAATGGAAAATGATAACTACAGCCATGCTGCAGATCTGTAAAAAAATGTCTAAATATATGATATTCATGCAATTGACCATACATTATTACAACAATTAGTTTGTTATGTACCTCCTTTTAATCCAAAGTCACCAATTTATAGTACCCACCGGACTCAACCAAGCAATAAAGCGCACCCCAATAGCGAACAGGATTTACATTGTGCTCCCTTTGGATCAACTATATAAAATCTTGGTCCGCTTTGGGTTTACTCCAGGTTTGTTGTACATTCATTCGGGGTACGATCTGGTTCGCTAGGTTAAACCCGGCGTTCGCTTTCAACTACTGACATAATGCTTTATTCATATAAGTCTTGGAAAGTAAAAAAATTGTTTAAAAATATTTATTTTTACATAGTTTACACATTATTATTCTTTTTTTGGTCTGTGATTTAGTGGCCAAGATTTGATCTAAACAAATGGAATGCGTTGAAAGAAGCACCAACAGTGTGATTATGCGACACAGTTTTATTTTATGAAAAAATATATTCTCACGATGTCTACAGTACATCTTTCAAAATGCTGTGCAAGGTGCACTGACCATTTTGATTTTCCTCTAACCTTTTTCAGGCAAAATGACGATTATGATATACATAAAAATAAATCATAAAATAATAAAATAAATTAAAGAACAAAGCAGCTTAATACCCCCTCCGATTGAAAAAAGCGACCTAAAATAATAATGAGGGATATTATTATTGGTTTAATTTATTAGCAGCATGCAATCGGACACAGCTCTATATAACCTTTTGTGTTAAATTCAATTAGAGCATGATTTGATAAAGATTTAGATAAAGTTATAGAAAACTGAAATCCTAGGGAATGTAATTCTATCTGTATAGTTTCACGAGGGCTAGAACGCAGATTGATTTTTTTTATATACATGTAATATGCACAACTCATTTAAATTGCTTTTAGCTAAGTCCGATTTATGTGATTTTCAATATTGATATTTACAGGTCATGCAACTAAATAACTTTTGAGGAATAATATACATTCATATATACTAGTTTTATCAACGTAAATATATTTAGTTTAAACATATAGCTACACACATTTATTAAACCCCATCATCGCTCTTACATATGCTACGACTTGTACGTGTGATTTTTGTTTTCGTTCGTGTCAAAATGGTGTGAAGGTTTCTTTTGGCACTGTTTAATTTTAATATTTGACCGGCATTGCAATTTTAAATATTGGAAAGGTACATTTAAGAGGTAATCATATCTCCAAAAACAACATTATCCTGAGAATCTTATCAATGCTGGAATTGAAAAAGCAAAAAATATTCC